TATATATATATATATATTACATATCTGGGTCTAAATGGGGTATCAAACTAATCACAAAAATGTTAATGGCATTGTTGCTGAGATAAAGCAGCTACACCGTAAACTTTACTCGTGCCATCGAACGCATCACCAGCTCTCTATCCTATGCAGAATGATACAAGTGAGATGTGACCAGAATGTTTTTCATGACAATCCATGTCAGACTTTACTGTGAAAAAGAATGAAAGCAAAAGCTGGGTGCAGCACTTTTCCTAGTGCAAGGTCGAACGAAAAAGTGAGTAGTGGTCGAAACCATTCAAAAGATTACCGAGGATATCTGGTTGTGAGTAGACCAAATCGACACCAACCTTCACAGAAACAGCACTAAAAATAATGACAGATTGTGTTGTTTGTGTGTAATGCGAACGTACTCTGGGCTCTCGCAGCGCAGCGGAGTGAACGGGCATACGCGACAGGATGTCTCTCGGCTCGCATTCCCGCAGCGGGAGACGATACAGGGCTTTGCGGACGACGAACGACAGTAGGGATGCAAGGCACAGGTTGGCAAGGAAACACTGGCAGACATGTCGGTGGTTCGGGTTTGAAGTCAAATCCGCAAGGCAAAGCAGACAAAACGCCATGAACCAAAAGGTTTGGTGAGATACAAGCATTACTGGCGCGGTTGCCAAGCGTTATATGTTCATTTCCCACGCATCTGAGTCCGAATTGTGTGCCAAACACAATGCGTTGCAATACGGCCAGGTCACCATGCGAAAGATGGTGAATTTTATTGGAGAATTCACAACCGGAGCCTTCGGCTAGCCTCAAGGCACTGGGTCGGTGTTCGGAAGCCACAGTTCATTTAGGGACCGGTTTTCAGTTCACTGGATCATACATCCTTTGAACGTATTCAAAAGTCCAAGGTGCCCAACACACCTTGAAGCCCGATCAAGACGGTGATCAGTGCCACAAACAGGAAGATGTGTGCGTGTGCATGTGTGGTCCCTACGGCTCTTCTTGGTCGATTTGAAATCAGTTTTAGGTGAAGTACTTGGGGAAGTGCTAGTGGTTCACCGATCCGGATGTTGGACTTTCGTCCTCTCATTTTTTGGGAAAATACTCCCGCCACACGAAGGCAGTTAGACGCTTTAGTCTTATATTGTCATTTCTTATGGTACAAGGGTAAGGTGACTAGTCAAACCCAAGATATCAATTCCCGACCATACCGAGGCTTGTGTAGGATTGTGTAAAGCAATAAAGCATAACCTATCATGTTCAAATCGGGATTAACAAAGTACTCTTTGTTGTTTTACTGCACACAAAGTTGGTTAGCGGTGGCGGAGGTCGAGCTTCGAACCCTGGATCCTAAAGCGTGCCTGTGTCAAAGATTCAAACTGCTTGACCGTCACCTAGCTGTTCCCTCCTATGTGGTCTTATATCTGAGTATAACATGCCTGGATGAATCTCTTCCAGTCATTGATAGACTTTTGGAAGATCTTTATAGGTTTGTGAATGAATCGTTGAAAACTTCTGTTCTCCTTCGATCGTGTTCCCACATCTTGAAGATCTGGTAACCGCTGCCATCCGGTTGATCATACAGGTATCAATGTTGTTCCGGTAGACCCCGATAAATGCACAGGATGCAGTTTGAATTCGGAGCGCACATCGCGATTCGATACTTTTTCAATTTTGACGGAATTCCGTCAATTCCTCAGATATGAAAGAATAACCTGAACATAAACAGCTGTATCATGGCATAATGAAAATCAAGAACAAATCGGCAGGACACTAAATGATTGTAACAACTTATAGATCAGTGTATACGCACGCGAAAATAAACTTAAACTATTCATCCGCAACCGTCAGGAGTATGGACTCCTAAGTTCTGGTAAAAACCACCCTTTGAAGGTAATGTTTAGCCTTTTAAATCTCGCAATGGCAATGGATGGTATCACCCGTGGAAATTTAGAAAATGGTTTTCCATCTAGCGCTTATTGTACAGATACGGGTAACGGTAGACTCAGGGAATGGGATTTCCAGTTCTAACCTAATTCACCATCCGGAGGAAACCCCGGGCGGCATAGTGAATAATGTAATATTTTGAGTGACTGGAGAGATGTAGGTGCCAAGCAGAAGCTGCCAGATGGTGTATCAGCTTCCAGGATCAGTGTGATAGATAGCGTCCAATCTGTTGCACGATAGTTGCTTCCTCCATCTCTGATTTCATAATTTCAAATTTTTTGACACCTAGATTCAAATGGGAAAGCGACGCGTTTTCGGTCGGTAATTAGTCTGCAGTGCATGCATACCCAGCTGAAAGCTTCGACAGTGGCATCGGCCTCTCTGTACAGAAAAAAGATATCTTTCGTTTTGAAATAACGCTCGGTAGAAGAAATTAACCGGTTTAGAGTTCGGTGAAAGAAATTAAAAGCGATTGCAATTGCTCACTATCTTTGTTTTATTGGACGTTCAACTGGACGACAACAGCTAGAAAATGAAAACGGGAAAAGTTTCAGACAACGAGTATAATAAATTCCAGCATGCACAATCTAGAGCCTGCTGTGATATCATGAAAACCGTGGCAGAGATCAGCAAACTTCACTTTACTGTATCTCGCTATCAGATGATGATAATAAGTTCGTTTTCAGATCCAACCCTAACTCAAACATGCGCTCTCTATTTTCTGTCAAACTGTTCTCCGATCTGATTCGCCAGTCGAATTCCTTGCCTTTTCAACTCCAGTCCATTGTACGCTACATACTTTGTATTCCGGCCAATTTCCGTTTCACGTTTGACGTTCCTAATCGACCGTCAAGTGCTTTGCAATACAACCCAGGCGACAGTGTTCCGCATGAAGTGGATCAACAATGCTCGGGGTTACGTGACTCTCTCGCATCTGCTTTACGTCGGCTAGTCTCCCCCGGGATTTGGAGGAATATGACACTTCTCACATTCATTCTTGCCAATGGTCTGGTTGGAGCCGCAATCGTTGTACCATGGACATTTATCTACGACTATGTTTTAGTATCACTCGGCGGCTCAGACGTGTTGGATTCTCGAAACGCTGGGCAACTTGCATGGCTTCCCTCACTCATTGGTATGGGTTCTCTTTTTGGTGAGTCGAACTTTGAGGTTGTTGTCACAATATTATTCCAAGGCTGAGCAATCATATTATATCGTAATTCATCAATGTTCGTTGTAATTCATGAGTTGATTTACCAAAGCATACTGCTCAGAGTGCGTAAATTTCGGACAACTGAACCGCGACTCGGCATTTTTTGTGAGAACAGATATAGGAATAATGACTTGCAAGAAACGAAAAACAGCATCTACGAACGTGCCGACACTAAATCCGTATTGATTTCACGGCATAGGCCGGAGGAAAAATTATAATTGAGACAGCATCCGGTTCTATGTGTTCCAAGATATCAGCCATAGTCACTAACTGATCTGATCCCGAAAAGAAACTGAGGGTTTTCCTAATGTGTGCCTGAGACTGTAGAGCATGACATGGTTCGCGGTAGCCCACACCGACGAAAGGTTTTTTCTTCGGGAATCCTGATCGGAGCCTTTGACTCTAAGGTCCATAAGGCAGTGGGTCGTGAATCCAACGTGTGGGCGCGACCAAACCACTCTTTCGGGAACTTCTAGAAGTTTGTCACGCCTTCGGGTTTCGGTTCGATATATTATTCGCTGTTACTTCGATAGTCGGTCCGTCGTTTGGGGTTGACCCTTAGCTTCATGCACCCAATGAGATAGGTGGAACGTGACTGAGGGCAAAGCAATTGAGAAGATGCACGAATAACACTGTTTACGACACAGGCATATCACTCAATGTCTCTAGTCATTGATTACTCTAATCTGGATGTTCCCATCCACGAAGCCTAAGGCGGTCTATGTGAGCAAGTTTCCTGGTCAGGATGTTAATCAATGTAATTGAACTAGTGCGCACTAATTCCTGGTCATCTTGGCTAATATTTAGTGGACCATGAAGCATTAGTTATGGTATAATAATAAAGATGTTTCCATAGCGGCTAGATATAATTGTACACTTTTGTTGGGGCTGGATGCTGCTCCAGATGGCGGATAGGGCGGTCGATCACTTAGTTAGATAATTGTGAGTAGATTGACAGTGATTCATCGAGCAAGTGATCATTAACATTGTCTGACGATGTGGCATGTTTTCCCCAGGTGATCGATTTCTTTTCAGTGGAATAAACTTAAATTCTTATGGAAAGCAAAATGGAAGTTACAAATCGGGCCTGCAACCCTTTCCTGGTTATGAAATAGTAGATATAGTTTAATCGAACATTGTTTTTTGTTTGAATATGGAAGCCAAAAACAGATTTGCACTATGTATTCTGTATCGTTTTGTTAAATCTGTACATGTGCTTGCCTCATTTTCAGTGATCACTAATACGAAGTCAGAAAATGTGCATTTATGGCCAAGATAACGTCAGAGCGATAAGCCATTCACATTGGTTACACAGTTGGAGAATGCTTTTGAATGTCCAGTGCCTCGGCGTATTCATGTAGCCTGGTGTCATGTTTGATTTACGAGATTCTGGATGCGTCTCTCAGCATGACACAGGTCTTCGGTTCCACTACGTGATGTGTGATGGTTGACGTCATGCTTCTAAAGTTTTCACTCATTGTTTTCTGCAGCCAGTCCGGGATGTGTTTAGTTACTCGATAATCCAATTGTTTTTTTGTCCTGCCGAAGTAGGGAACCGGGCATCTACACTGGAATTGA